AATATAAAACGTAAAAAAAAAGAATACGTATCTTTCAACAATCTAAGAACATTGATAAATGTTACAAATAATATAATAAATGTGTAAAACAAACAAAGATCATTGTGGAATAATTAATTTCGTTTTGAGAAAAGAAAAGAAAAGAAAACTAAGGATGAAAAAAATGCTTATGGAAGATATCTGCATTGAAATCCATGAAATTGTTAAATATACGAAAGAAATAAATTGTATAATATTTTCTTTTAGAAATTTATTTCGTTGCGTGAATTATTTCTAATCTAAATTCCCTCTTTTATCATATTAAATATTATCTTAAATACGTTTTATATTTCTTTATACTGTCTTGATGTAAAATCTTTCTAGTCGTTAAAATATGCCAACGCTGAAAATTTCCCCGAGTCGAATGGCTCTTGCACATTCGTGGAATTAAAAAGAAAAAAATTAGTTATAAAAGATTTGTGTGTTTTTCTTTAGTTTCCTCTTTCTCTCTCTCTCTCTTATATTTTTCTACAATAATTCTTCCATCTAACAGAAAGAAAGAAAAAGTGGTTGAAAGAGAGATGGAGGGAGAACGTGTACGTAAACAGAATTATTAATGAGACGAACCTTCGATTGGAGGATTGTATAGCGAAACAAAGGAGCATTGGTAGGATTTAGTATGATCATCAATGTTTTCAATCCCACCTTTATCTGTAGATTTCCACAACTTGCATACCGTTAGGATCATCCTTCGACGAACGTAGATATATAAAGGCTGTTGGTCACTACGATCTCTCATACTATTACATACCATTGCATCTTACGAACTGTCAGGTGAGTTACATTTTTCTTCCTCCTAGAATTTCTTTCTAATAACGATTTTTATATACATATATATATTTTTATTTGAGACAGAAAACTGACTGTCACTAAATTTCTTGCTTTTACATTTTGTTCTTATCAAATAAGTGTGTATATTTTGTTCGCGTTCAATGTAACATTTTATTAGATATATGATTTGAAACACAAATATTTTCTTTGAGTCTATTTCCTAATCTATTAATTAGTATTCAATATTGTTTGAATATTGATAATATTTGTTGAATCAATTGTAGAGAGAATTTGTTATAAAATTCATTTATAAATCTTGTTTCCTTTAGCAAATATGAAGACAACGTTCCTTTGTATTACCGTTTTGGCGGTAATCGTAGTTACGTTGGCAGATGAGCCAAAATATACCACAAAATTTGACAATATCAACGTGCATGAAATTTTGCACAATGACCGGCTACTCAACAATTATGTCAACTGCTTGCTCGATAAAGGTCGCTGCACTGCTGAAGGTTCTGAATTGAAGAGTAAGTTTTAATTGAATTTTGTTTATTCCTATTTATCATTTATATATACATTTTGTATTATCAATGTTTTAGAATCCTTACCGGATGCTTTGGAAACCGATTGTTCCAAATGTTCCCCTAAGCAAAGAGAATTTGCAGAAGAAGCTATGAAATTCTTGTCCCACAACAAGAAAGAAATCTGGGAGGAACTTCTTGCCAAATATGATCCCGATAAGAAATACAGGAATAAATTTGTCGATCGAGCGAAGGATGCTGATATCCAAATCTAAGAACAAATTCGAAAAGAACGATTCTTAACGAAATGCCAATAATACAAGTGTGATGATAATAATGTCAGGATATATGATTGACGATATCAAAACTATACATTTATTCAAATATATATGACTTACTTATATACATATGTAGATATAATTACTTTGTAAACTAACATTGGAAAGTTTGTTTGTTAATTATTCAAATTCGAATTGTGTTATTGCGTGTGAATGATATAAAAATTTGTAATAATAAATAAATTCTCATTTGTACGTATATATCTTTTCTTTAGAGACATTTTTTTTAACGATGAAATCATTAACTTACAAATACAAAATCGAAGAGAATCTTTAATTATTTCTTATATCTTATTATACACTTATTTGTTTTTTTATTATTTATTATGCGAAACAGATAATTATCTAATTAAAAACTGTATTGCTAAAATAATAATGTTGTTTGTCACACTCGCCTCGAGGCGAGGATATATGTATGTACGATGAATAATATCCATATATTATTATTTATATACATATTACGTTTAATATAAAAAACAAGACATAGTTAAAAGAGTTACTAGTTTTTATATATATATATACATATATGGAGCAGTAGTTAATCGCAAGTTCGAAATTCCGATATGTTACGTTCTGAAGATAATTGCAAATCACTGAAATCAATGAAATAAATAAAGCTAGCTACTAGATTCACGTTACATTTAAGAAATCGATTTATTTGTAAAAAAAAACGAGTTAATTTAAGTAAATAATTTATTTGTATCTTCAAATATATTTGATTATTATCGTAGAATAATGGCAGGATTAGAAAGAATGAACAGAATCGGACGAACGATTGAACATTCGCGCGAACATATATTGAAACGTTACTCAAAAACCTGTCCAACATTTTATCACATTTGTTATGATCCTCTTGGTACTCACACAAAATCACGTACTTTCTTAGGATTTTTAATGGGCTTTATTCTCGGTTTCATTTTCTATCGAACCATAATTTTTCAATTACGATTCGATCGTTATACCACTGTCTATCTTGGAACAATTATTATCGTTATATTATCTATCGGTTGTGCCACTTCTATTCAGGTAATCGTTTAATTGTATGTGATATAACATTAAAAAAACAAATATAATTAAATAAATAAAAAAATCAAATGGAAAATTTCAATCGAATGAAATATCACGCGAACATAAAAATGATTTTAATAAAATAATTAAATAATATTAATCATATATATTCATTATCTCTTGAATAATTTACATTATAAATTAACTTCGATATTTATGCAAATAGAATTGAAATAAATAAATGCGTAAGACTTCGTTATCGTATGACACATCCTATTTGTACAAAAAACAAGATAAATAGGAAAGAAAAAAAAATTTGACGTCAATTAGATGTAATCATTTACAGATAAGATGCATTTGCATTTTGACGTTTCCTGCATTTTTCGGTCGAGCAGGACGTACACTTTTGAGGGCACTTGTCCTCGGATATATAATAGCAGGACCTATTTTTAATTTGACATACAATGCGAAAGAAGTGATAAGGAGTTTTGCTTGTACAGCTAAATTGACGCATAATTTGACTAAGACGCGAGCCGATCTGATGTTCGAGCCCTTTCATCGAGCCATTTTAGAGATGAGGGGTAACGCCGATGAGTTAAAGGATGCTTTATCATCGGTGAGAGATCTGATGAGTCCGATAGTCGAAGAGATCGAAGGGGAGGAAGAGATGATGAGGTTGAAAGAAGAGAATGATTACCTCGACGAAATTCAAGGGGATTCCAAGAGGAGCGAGGAGATCGAGGAGAAGCGGGGAAAGGAGATGGATGATGCTAAATCGGAAGCCGAATTTTACTCGGCTAAATATAAAATGAAAGTTGAGTCTCGTTGCGAGGAACAATTAAGTCGCGGTGCTGGAAGATGTAGGTATGATCATCACATATATCTAATTCTAAATAATTCTTTTAATTATGTTTTTTATCATGTCACATTTTTTGTTTATGTTTTAGAGATATGTTTGCTGACGCTTACGATAAGTGTTATTACAAGGTTACCGTTTTTGCTGCTTGGTTATTATGCTGGCCAATGAAGTTGACGTTCGTTTGTAATCTTGTTCAAGCGTTAGGCGGAGCTAACATTTGCGATCCCGATGGAAAAGTTGATACCGGTGTTGGTGACGGTTACGTAGCATTAAAAAGTATCATTTTAAACGACAATTAAAATAACGATTTATCTCTATTTTATTTCTCTCTTTAACGTTTTTTTCTCTTCCTATCAGATACACGAAATAAATTTGGCAAAAGTATAAAGGATGCAAAAATTCAATACAAATTAAATATCGCGCCACCTATATTAGATATTCACGATGCCACGAGTGCTGCGAAAGCCATGATTCACGATTTCGATGCAAGAAGAAAATTGTTCGAATCGGTGATGACATTTGCTAAGAGATGCTTGTCTTTAGTATTCCTGAGTATTATTTTAAACGCTCAGAAATATCATGACAGATATTTAACCGATATCGAGTTCGATAACATTTACGTGACTCGTTATTTTCGAAAGATCGATGCTAGGAGGAAAGCACGAGGCAGTGTTACCTTGTTGCCTTTGAAAAAGCTCGAGAGATTCAAATTCGTCGATCCTTACGGTTTAAAAGCTAGCAAAGTTGAGAGCCGACATATTGTAGGTGAAACAGCTAAGCTTTTTTTGGAAATGATCTTAGCTACGAGTTTCGTATTGATAGACAGATTATTCTTCGAAGCACTCGATTTGATTCGCCGTCATTCGAGATTGGAATACACTCAGGTAAACACAACATTCGATTTATCTTCAACGCAAAAAAGCTATGAAAAAAAAAAAAATAAATAATAAAATATAAAATGATCTATTATTTATATTCGTGGCATAGGCTGGTCACCACGATCTGAGTTTGAAGATCCAAGGTACTGGTGTAATAGCCTCACTGATCAGACATTTGATTAATGGTTTTAACGTGAAGAAACATACGAAAACCGTCATTTCTAACGAAGCGTGTCTCCCAAGACCAACCGAATTATCAAATAACGTAATCCTTCAGATTTACGCTACCTTTCTAGCCATTTTCATTTTAATTTATACATCTGCTTATACTCAAAGAATGCGTTTCTTCGTCTGTTCGTTTTTTTATCAAAAACGTCAAAAACGACGAATACTTTATTTATATAACGAAAGTTTACGTCGAAGGCTTGGCTACGTGGCATTTACCAAAGCAAAAATCGAATCATTGGCAAGGACCCGTAATTTGGAACTGGAAATATCTATTTCCATGGCTTTAAGGAAACGATGGCCGAAACTTTTTGGTTGGCTTATATTATTCGCATCGGGTAGAGAAAAATGTTTAATTTGCGGAGAGGTTGAACCACGTAAAGGTTTAAAATTTCATCGTTGTACAATTCCGGGTTGTCCTTTTGTATATTGCGAGGAATGTTGGAAAGACATTGGTCAGATCTGTTATGCTTGTGCTGATATTTCCGATGTTTCCGATGATACTGATTTGGAAGACCAAACGGATGAATCAGAGTCAACGGAATGAATAATAATGAGCTATTTTATATACATTTATATTACGATCTTTAAAAGTCGTTGAAAACAACCGAGTCGATACGATTTCAAGTTTATTTGTCGACAACCACGAAGAATTGTGTTTGCATACGAGATATCGAAACATTCAAATTAGATTCCATCCATTAGATGATCCATTAACAAATCAGGAAAATATCTTACGTGTATGCTATTATATCTCTAACACTTTGAAACTTTTTTTATTTACAACATCTATACTTACTTGGTCTCTTTTTCTTTAGTTAGAATATATATATATATATATACATTATTGCATAGTATAAATGGATGTTATATTGTCGAGGAAAAAGAATAGAGAAAAAAGAAGACACACATTCTGAGAAATATTATCATTATTTTATTTATTTTTCTAAACGCATATCATTGCGTCTTCTCAAGGATTACTTATTTTAATTATAAATGTTAAAACAAAAGAAAAAAAAAGAATGTGGCTTATAAAAGAGTCCATCTCGAGAATTTCGATCATTTCGTTGTTTCAAATAATTTATATTACATAATCTCGGAATTTGCCTATCGAGAATATTATTATTTTAATGGGATTTCGTGCGTCTAACGAACCATGCCGAGTACTATAAAAGACTTTTTGAATTGACTATGAGTTTACAGATGGAACAAGTTGGTTGATAGTATTTCGTCAGAAAATTATTTTATCTTCGATAGAAATATTTTGAGAAAAAATGTACGCGATAAATAATAAATTAATTTTCGTTATTTTGGTAACGTGTATTATCTTCTTCATACAAATTTTGGCTAGAGAAGAAGAGGCGTCGGAGGAAACGAAAAAATACACTACCAAATACGATAACGTCGATATCGATGGTATTATGAAAAACGAGAGACTGTTAAAGGCATACGTGGGCTGCCTACTCGATCGAAATCCTTGCACGCCGGACGCGATGGAATTGAAAAGTAAGCAGAAATATTTAACATCCTATACTTACAATTTTTATTTTTATTTCTTTTTTTTTCTAATCGAACACATTTGGTGTAAAATAAAATAAACAAAAAATAGAAGAAGAATTTGAAAAGAAAAATACCGTGACAAAGGTTATAAGATTAATAACAATTTTTTAAATCTTTCAAATGTCAAATGATTCATTTGAATATTAATAATGTCGGCAAACGGAGAAGTAGGAAGGTGTAATGAAATAAAAAAAAAAAAAGAGTGAAACGTCTTCATCGAAAGATCGAAATGTTTTGAGTACTGTCGTAAAAGACAACGTTTAAGAAAAAAATGTAGGACGAGATAACTTCTAATAAAGATGTCTTTAAGTAAGGACTAACTCACACACGTTGGGTGCAATTTTATTACGGTGGCACGGAGCACACAAGGACGGACGGACGGACGAATCAAGAAATGTTGCAACATTTTTATTAATAAACATTTTACTTTTATTCTATTCTTTTTTTGTCCTCAATAAATACTATTCCCTTTTTTAATGTTCTTCTATATCTATCTTTCATTTTAACGTTCTATTGTTTTTCATTTTTTTTTTTTTCTATTGAGATATAAATGTATTTCCTTTTATATATCCATTTTGATTTGTCCAATTGTTTTATATATTCCAAACGCGAGTATACACGTGTGACGATTGATTTAATATTTGTTTACGATGCATTTGTAATATCTTTTTCTCGAGAATCGAATACGACAATATGTAATTACAGAAGATTGGACAAATTGCAACACATTAGATGTAATTTATCTCTGATAATGAGAGAAAAATATATTTTTCTGTTTTATTTTATAGGAAATTTACCAGATGCATTGGCGACTAATTGTTCGTCTTGCAGTGAAACGCAAAAAATTGCTGCCGATAAGTTGACTCATTATTTGATCGATGAAAGACCGGAAGCGTGGGGCCTCCTCGAGAAAAAGTACGATCCCGATGGCGAATACAGGATACGTTACCAGGATAATAAATTTAACAATGTTAATAATAAATCCGAGAAACGGGAAGAAAATGAAAAGGATTACGACGAATCGAAACCTATATCGGATTTTTAACATTTTATTCGATTATCAGGAATCTCATTCGATACGTTGAAATCCTGTAACCCTTTGATGAACGATTTATTTCTGTAGACATTCGTAGAAACAATTAATTGATTTATTAAATATTCCAAAAAAAAAAAAAAAGAAATGTACACGTAATGTAGCCTGTTAGATTTTGAAAGTCACCTTTGTAAGCATATATATCGATCTATTAATACAAAATATATATGTATCATAAGAAAAAATAACACGAATTAAAAAACAAACCACCGTATAATTAATTAATCATATTCTTCCTAGTATATGGAATTGAAAAATATTCAACAATTACCGACAAAGTAATGCGAAACGTATTTCCTTTTTTATCGTAATTTTTTTCTTAAAAAGAACAAAAATAAAATAAAATAAAATAAAAGAAAAGAAAAGAAAAGAACAGTAAAAATAAATAAAAAAAAAAATTCGAAGGACGCGTGAGAAACAATCCTTGATTGATATCCACGATGCTTATTAGACTTATAGACTTTGTTACATCTATAAGGAATAAAGACTTTAGATTTACGATAGTAAAGAAAATCTATGGCAATGAAAATATTGTTGCGCAAGGGAAAAAAAAAAGAACGTATTAGCTAAGAAGAGAGACAAAACAAGTACATGATTCATAACTGAACTCGCATACGACCCGCGATACGATGTTTGCGACCTAATGATGTTTATTACCTCGTCATCGAACAATATATCTATAACTCTTATTATCTACCGTAACATTTCTTTTTTACCTTCGACCGATTATTTTTTTTTTATTTTTCATCCTTCTTAGAAATTCATTGGAAGGCCGTTAGAACGTCGTTATAAGATTGTTAGAATGTCATTAGAGGCCGTCGACAAGTTAATTTTTAATCCAAGAATATGTTCATATTGTATAATAGCAAAAGATAATATCTATCTTATTTCAATACTTCGTCTCATATTTCTTTTATTATTATAAACGAAAAATTGAAAATTAATAAAGAGTTAGAAACGATATAACCCCCCCCCTCCCCGCCC